GGTAGATGAGATACACAAAGCGTGCATCCAGGTATGGTGTGGCACTGCAGGTTTTATTGGCCTGAGCATTACTCATGAGTGACAGAACCATGAGTGAACAAGTTATGCAAGACATCTCAAATGTGTGTTAATAAAACTTGTATACCACACCACCACGTAGTCTGTATACATCACATATTTAAAACAGAAATAAAATATTTTAAAGAATTAAAAAATATATGGGTATTGTTTTTTGTATCACTTCACTTGTAAAGCAAGTTGTGGAGAATGCAGGAAATTTCTGTATTATTTTTATGAAAAGTAGGCTTGATTCAGTTTACCTACTCAGTTTTGTATTGCTATCTACTTGGTTCCAAGGAGTTAACTTCTTTCCAGAACCATTTGATAGGAAGAGGGTGAAAAGGGATGTATGGACTAGCTGTGGATCACACAAGTGTCTGGATTGGTATAAATGAAATATCAAGAATTGTCAACACTGTGAACAGAGCCATCTTGGAGATACAGTGCAGACCAATGACTGGACCATTAACTTTTAACAACTTTAAGGGACTTTTTAGAATGTGGATGGGTGATTATCTGTCTGGACACAACCCCTCCCTGATCTAAACCCAAGAAGGGCAATACACATGAAAACAGTGTGACTGGGACTTGAGATAAAGGAGATGTGTTAAGAAGAGGCTTATGTAAGAAACTTTGCTCTCCCAGCAGAAGAGAGCTAAATCCAATCAAATCAGGGACCGTTGGGCAGGGCCAGGTGCAGGCATGCAGTTTGTCTTCCAGGAAAATGCTCTTAGGCTATATCAGGGATCGGCAACCTTTGGCACGCGGCCTGCCAGGGTAAGCCCCCTGGCGGGGCAGGCCGGTTTGTTTACCTGCCGCGTCCGCAGGTTCGGCCGATCGCAGCTCCCACTGGCCGCGGTTCGCCGCTCCAGGCCAATGGGGGCTGCGGGAAGCGGCGCGGACCGAGGGATGTGCTGGCTGCTGCTTCCCACAAAAGTGGAAGTGTAGACATAGCCTTAGCCAAGCAAGGGGAAGCTCAAGGTTAGGGTAGAGTTGTGCATTTAGACTTTTCCTTGCCATTTTAACCCAATGTCCCTGAATATTGTATTCTTGTTGAAAAGAAAATAATCTATTGTTTTGAAATGGCTATCCTGTGTCACTGCAAACATTTGCTGGCTACATAGCTTCCGAGGGAGTAACTAGGGTCCAAACTCAGCTGGACCTGCTAAAGGAGCCACAGTGAGAAACAGAGGCATTGAAGCCAGCGCATCTCTCTTGAGCAAAGTGTAGGCCCAAAATTTGTGTGGCAGATGAGAGAGTTAGAGGCACATAGTAAATATAATTTATCACATGGATAACATGAACATATGTGGGATGGCTGGCTGGAAACACTTTCTGACAGAAATAAGAGCTCTGAAACATTTTCACAGTGCGGGAAGCAGCGGGGGCCGAGGGATGTGCTGGCCGCCCTTCCTGCCGCCCCCATTGGCCTGGAGCGGCGAACCACGGCCAGTGGGAGCCACGATCGGCCGAACCTGCGGACGTGGCAGGTAAACAAACCGGCCCGGCCTGCCAGGTGCCTTCCCTGAACAAGTGGTGGACTGGCTTTGAGAACGATTGGTGTAGAGCACATCTTATTTCGCAATGTGGGTGAGAACTGGACAGCGAGCCTATGGCTATTCTGTGGCCAATATATTCCTCTCTAATGTGAAAACAGTAGCAGGTAGGACAAAATCACCTGCAAATCGTTATGGGTCTGTTAAGCTCAACTCTCTTCTGCATCTTCTCATAGAGAAAGCACTGTGGCACTGGAGCATGCAAGGGGCGTGCCTGTATTCCCTGGTCCAAGATCCACAGGAAAAGACAAAGGCCTTGTCTACACTAAAGGGAAAAATCGATCTAAGCTACGCAATTTGAGTTACGTGAATAGCATAACTGAAATCGACATAGCTTAAATCTACTTACCACTAGATATGCACTACGTGACATCGACGGGAGACGCTCTCCCATCGACTCCCCTTACTCTTCTCGATCAGGTGGAGTACAGGAGTCGACAGGAGGTCTTAACTAGACCCGCTAAATCGACCGCCGATGCATCGATCCTCCGGTAAGTGTAGACAAGCTCAGAGAGGACACCAAGGATCTCTGCCCCGTGAAGACAGTTCTTCCACTTCCACACTTTTCCATATAGTACCATCCTCTGAGCTTTGGCACTGATGTGCTGCCACTGGTTAGTCATCTATCAACTAAGTACTTCTGCTATCTTCAGGCTGTTGAAGGGGCTGAGTTACCTCTGGTCAGGGCAGTAAAACTTACTAAGGGCTTGTCTATACTTGAAAGTTAACTGGGATTATGGCACAGTGTGATTTTAAAGTGCAACACCTGTTCCTGAATAACTCCACTCCTGAACAAGAGTGTCCACACACGGAGTTAATCAGGAACAATTACTCTGAATGGGAAACATGCTGAATTGAGAGGCTGTTCCCCAACTCTTCTCCCTTTCCATCAACATGCCCTCTGTCTCCATGAAGTGGAACTAGGTTGACCATACGTCCCGTTTTGGCTGGAACAGTCCCTTTTTTAAGCCCTGACCTGGCCGACCTGACTTCTTTGGCAAACAGGATTAATACCCACTTTTGTCAAAAAAGTAGGGTGCGGAGGAACATGCCCGGGGGGGGGGGGGGGAAGAGTAGTGATGCCAGCCCCAGCCCTCAGAGTGGGGGAGTCCTTGGGTCAGCCCCACATGGTGTCCCGTTTGGAAATATGATCACCTAGAACTCCTGCATAGTTGCTAGAGAAGAATAGTAAGACCTAGGCAGCTGGGGGGGGGGTGAGGAAGGGGGAGAGGAGATAAGATACTAATGCACCTTCAACCTGCAGATTTTCTGTATAATTACTTCCCTACACACTGCAGAGAGGAAATTTATGGTAGACCAATATATCATCACTTGTACTGGAGATAGGAACAGTGAAATTACCAAGTAAAGTAACTGACCATTATCTGCATTATTCTGGCCAAAAAAGTACCAGCAATACTATTATTACTACTACTAATTTGAATCTCCCATCTAAGGGCAACAAACAACTTCAATGAATGTATTAGTTAAACCTCACAACACACGTGTGGAGCACTGTAACTAAGTACAACAGTTTATAGAAAAATAAATAGGCCCAGAGACATTATGTAACTTGCCTAAATTCATTACATTAAATGCATTTGATGATACAATCAGGTTAATTCAGCATTTATTAAAAAAGAAATCAGTTCATATAATCAATTACTTTAATCTAACTGCATGCAACTTGTTACCCTAATCAAGGGTACCTGAGCTAACCTTTTCACTACCACAAAGCTCATCAGAGAAAATGACTTGTATTTAAAATGAGCCACTAATGAAATCAACACAGCCATAAATAATGTTAAATGAAAGAGAGAACAAAAACCTTTTCTAAAATAAGGTTAGATGCTAAAAAGACTTGAAAACTCAAAAGAAGCAATATATACATTTTCTACAGATTTTTCTTCCCAGATACCTTGTAAACCTTATGATTTTATCTCAGGTTTTTTTAACCCATCTACTTGGTCATCCAGCTTATCCATATCAATGCCTTTTTGGTTTAAATATCAGAATGTCATGCCCTTTTGCAAACTCTATGCATTATTAGTGAGCTATGCTAAAACTATTGTAGTCAGTACTTTTCCATCTCTTCTACTCCACCCAAGGTGTTTTCAGCAGTTGAAAGGAATGTCATTTCAGTATTGACCAGAAAAACAAAAGCACTGAATCAGTGTTAGCTTTAACTTGACCTCTGTGTAACTGCAAAGTCTAATATAGTTACTTCTGTGTAGTAATGTAGATAAACCAAGTAAAATGCTTAACAAGGCAAAACAAAAGAAGAGGAAAAACGAGCTCTCCTTTTAAGGTGTATTTATTAATATCAAACACTTCCCCCACTACCCTTGGTTCCTTATTCTGCACTCTAGAGTTAGGGTTAGAGTTAGGCAACCAGACCTCCTCCCCCATACTAAGAAGTCTTTTCAATATTCCTCTGTAAGGGCATTATGAATCTTTGAAGTTTTCTTCAAGGTAACAAACTAGGAAGCTTTTCTTTTGGGAAACTTTCATTTGTCAGGTGCCGTGCAAAATAAGGACTTGCACTACAAGATCTTCCAACTTATCTCTAAGTGAAAGTCACTTGTAAGCCTGAAGTGCTTTTCGTGAAACTTTCAAGCAGATATTTCAAGACTGAAGGGGAGGGGGAACATTGGGACATTGTTAATTCCAAAAATGGAAGAAGCAAAATCTAATTTAGGAAGCAGATAGATTTTTCCCTCTGACCCTTCCATTTTAGGAGTAAAAATTAGTTTATTAGCAAGTCTGTGTGCCAACTGTGTTGTCCAACAACCTTAAAATGAAATATTCTGCCCCCCCCCCGGAAAAACATCTTACTGAGACTGCAAATTCCTGTCCACAGTTAACAAATATAGCCTTACAGCTCTTGTAATAAACATTGATTCGAAACTGCTTAACTGTATCCATTTCTATTGTACAAACTGCCTCTCTTCAGGGAATATGTATCAATCACACACAGGCACAGTGTACACCTACACATACATAGATATATAAACACAATTTTAAAAAAACAAAGCTCTCCCATCCCTGGGGGAAATCTGCCTGCTAAGCTGAACCTGATGCCGCTTCCAGTACGAGTCATTCCAGGAAAATGTAGGTTGATTTTCAGGGATCAGTGGACCCCACAACAGTCTCGCCAATGGTGGCTCAGCTCTATAAGTGGTAGGCACATAAAAATGGAACTGGCAAGACTAACTGAATTGCTCCCTTCCAGTCAAAGCCAATTACAGTAATCACTATCATGGCTTTTGTCAATTAAAAGTCAAAGTGGTTTTATGGCCTACCAAAGACTTCCTACAGAAACAATCAGAGTAAAAATTAAAAGTTCTGAGAAGAACTGGAATATTCAACAATTATTCTACTTACTGTTCAATACGTGGGGACAGATATAGCTTGGGGAAAACCTGAGCAGCTTCTGTATCCTCAAAACTGACTGAAAGAAGAGCAACATCCTCTCCTGGATCTTCATTCACATCCTGAATATAAAGAAAAAGCAGGTAACATCAAACTTTACTTTAAGTAATCAGAAACTTACTAGTAAGGGGTCAAAAAGGGTCAAATACCCAGAGTAGGTAAAAGAGACATCATAAAGGTTGAAGGGCCTCAAATTTGACAATTTAAAAAAAATCTGTTTGTAAATTTCACTTAATTTTTTAAAATATTTTGACAACAAATTCCGCAGTGCTCATTTTTCTTCAATGAATCAAAAGAAAATCAATTATACTAGCCCAGCATTCACAAGCAACCCCTTACAGTAACATACCATCTTTTCAGTGTGTTGGAGCATAAACATTTCAGTAAAAAACAGATTTCATTTCTAAGATTCCTGGGATTGTTATAAACAACTGATGAAAATACCAAAGAATCTTCATATAATATCGTTGGGTCATTGAGTTATACACCCAAATGTTACATTTATAAACTTTTGTTGAAGTATATAGATCTGATTCTTTGCTGTGTTCAGCTTCTGTTTGAGCTGAGGGTGGCAGGGATTCGGGGGGGGGGGGGGGGGAGGAGAAGGGAGGAGAGGGTGACATTAAGGTGTAGGCTATGGCTCCCTGATTCTCTTCCCCAGCCCTGGCCTCAGTGCAAGTTAGAGTGTGCATTTAAGGCTGCCCTTTCATAACTAATCTCTGAGGTGTCTCTCTCTAATTTAGGCCCTATCTGCACATAACTTCCAGCTGTGATTTTGTAACCTGTAAGTGGTAGTGACCTTAAATGACATCAAGTAACATAGGGCAATTCATTGCCCATAGAGTAGTCTTTCAACATATTTGTGTCTGACCCTAGCTCTCTGATAAACTGTATTTGCTTCTATCCATTTAGGAAAAATATGGGTTATTCTTCCATAGTGACAGGACATAGCCCTGCAGACAAACACAAAGTAGCATCAACGATACACACAGCAATATGCTCTGGGATGCTCTATCACACCATAGTTGTGAGGAAGAAGGAACATCTGTTAAACCTAATAAACAATGCTAATAACAATTAAACAATTAAACCTATTAAACAAAGCCAGGTGATCCAGCTCAACCTACCAAACACAGAGCATGTTGACTGGTTATAGGAAGATAATCATGTGCCAGCCCAGGCTTCTGGCTGGAGTGAAATACTACTGGCTGTCATGGATTCTAGCAGCATATAAACCATGTGGTGTATGCTGACCCAAACCATACCAGTGACTTGTTACAAACACAGTTAAAAACTGTAGTGTGGCAGGGCCTTAGAACAGGCTGGCCATATTACACAAAACAATAAGAAAGAGCGGACAGTGTTTTTTCAGATATTTCTTCACTCTGTGGCATAGTTCTGATCTACAATACAACAATAGTGATCACAGTCTACAATACCTCCCCCCAGTATTGCATATATTTTCATGGCTAGAGAAAATTTGAGACAATTAACATCTTTCACTCCTGAAGTCTAAGTGCAATATTAACTGTGTTGTCCCTATTAACTTGCTAAGTCACACTAATCAGACAAACAGAAGTGTTAAAACTGATTAAGCAGTACAGTCTAATGACCAAAAGGATCTTGTTTTAATTGACAAGCATTTGTCACATGATGCAAGATATAGAGTACGTTTACCCTTTTCATATCCAGGGTATTTTCAGGACCACAAATTCTTTTTATGCTGGAAACCCTTTTCAAACACCATGCTCACATTAGCACTGAACAAATGCTTTTTATTGGTTGCACAACAGCATGGCAAAAATTGAACAGTTAAAATCCCACATGAGTATTGTTAATGCTCAAATAGATCAAAAGTTCACCTCTCCACCCACGCACTCAATACAATGTGACAGTACGGGTACAGTTTCTAGAATATACCATCTAGCTCTACCTTCCTTCCTTCAAGATCTCAGTGATCAAAAGGACTCCAAAAAGACCGAGATATAAAAGAACATATATCAGGAAACTAAAGGAAAATTATCAAGAATTATTATGACCACTAATAACAGCATTTAATAGGGACTTTCATGGTGGATGAAATTTTAAAATATATAATCTTACACGAACACAATGCCTTTGACATTTTAAGTTGCAACAAGTTGAAGTTTGCAATACAGGTAGTAAACCCGGTTGCCTAATTTTTCTCCCTCTATAAAAAATAATATACAATAGTAACAAGTTAATGGTGCAACTACTTCTGCCAACATGGCATTGCACTGAATATTAATATAGCTAAATTCAGTACAAGTTTGTGGAAAGAAACTGACATTTGTCCACTACATTTCAGATTGTCATTTTTCAAATATACGGTATAAAAAAGGTCAATCAGTTACAGACACAATTTGCTTAACTCTCCAAAAAAGGTTTAAAAAGTACCATAATACAGTAACTGTTGCAGAGCTGTTATGAAACTGGCTGACCTGTGGCTCACCCTGGCCAACCTAGGATGGCCCCAGAGCTATCACAATACAAAGTCGCAAAAAGGTCATTTTTGTATAGATTGGCTGGACCTAAGTGCACATTACTTTATGTCAGACTATCAAACATTATTATAATTAAGTCCTTTTGTACATAACAACACACTGTTTATTTCTTTCATACTGTACTTTGTTACTTTTATTTATGCAACAATCTGCTTGGTGGAACTGCATTCAACCTTAGTATGTCGGTTACAATTGCTGTTTATAAAACTAAATTGAAAACACATGTTGTACAGATAAACTATGGTAAAAAAATCTGGCTTTTAAATTAACGGACCTTTTTGATGTGTCTGTGCCAGTCAAGATTTAACCCCTCAGAGCTGCATCTCTACAGACCTGTTAATGATTAGATGACTTGATATTCAGTGTTTGTGTTGGGAAACAATGATCTTTTCAAAGGACAAAGGCAGCTCCCTCGCAGGGATCACCAGAGTCAAAAGGCCAAGGATGTTTTTATGTTTCGTACCAAGCTATAACCAGACATTATTTCCCCGTCTGTCTACATTTTGTGCATGGGTTTTAGTCTCAAAGAACAGGCAAAATAGAACTAATACAACGGACCAAGTAAAATAACAAAGCAAAAGCACCCTTTTTATTATTATTTTTAATTTAGTTTCAGAAAGAATGATATATTTAGAGAATATACTTTCCTATTACTGTATCTTCCTTCGTGTCATAAGCAAATTTTGTTTCTTCAGTATTTTTCCCGTTTCCAGAATACAAAAAGAAAAAGGTACTCGAACTTAAATGGCAACAAATTCTGAATATTTAAAACGAAACAATCTTTTGCACAACATATAATTAACCATGGAACTTGCTGCGACGGGATGTTGTTAAAGCAAGTAGCTCATACATTTCAGAACAGAATTAGACACTTGTATGAATTAAGAATGGAATTTTTATAATGAATAATAGCATCTGTAGTTACACTAGTTAGGCTAAACATAATAATACTTAGCATTTATATAGCTTCTTTCATCAGAAACTTTATAAAAGGTGGTATTATTTATATTCAGTTCCCCATCTGTAAAATGGAGATAATAATCCTTCTCTACATCACAAAAGTATTGTGTGACATAATGACAATGTTTGCAAAACATTTTGAGATTCTTGGATAAAGCACATGGTAGTAAGTAAAAATATCGAGTTCTCAGTAATACACAATATCTTAAAGGGACATTTTAAGCAACTTGAAATCTAGCCCACTTAAAAAAAATATACAGAATTAAAACTAGTTCCAGGATGTCCCTCCAACAGTTTAAGTGGCTTTTTTACAATTATACATTTCTACTTTAAAAAATGCTCTCTCTCCCCTATTTCACTGTGAAAAACTCACGCAACAGAGAAAATGGACTGCACAGAAAGTCAGTGAAAATGACTATAAAAGTGCTGTCAAATGGACAATGTAAAGAAACTAAAAGAAAAAGATGGATTTTCCTCTAGTCTCTTTCAGTTAGTCACTTCCAGTGCTGCTTATGACAACAGCAGGTAAAACATTTCAGACGTAAGTGCAATTTTTAAGTTTTTGACAAACTGGAAGAAAAGTCACAACTCTCAGTTGTCATTTATATTGTACACCCATGTCAGAACTTTAGTAAATAAGAATCAGGATGATAATCTACCAGTAAATCCTGAAAACTACTAAAAGTCTCCAGGTTTTGTGAAAATACAAAACCAACACAAAAGTTATGAAAAGTGTGGTTCTGAGCCATTCAAAGAAAAAAAATGATCTGTCCTTGGAAGCTTAAATAAGGGACACCAAGTAACATAGGAACCAAAAGGACCATATAATTGACTTGTATTTCAATTTATATTAATTAGCACTATCTAAATGATCATGTGCTAGATTTCATTCACAGCTAATGAAGCTGCCATTCACAAATACCCTTCAGTTTTACATTTTACTGGAACAGCTGTATCTCTTTCACAAAAATTTATCCTTTTGTAAATTAATATGGATTGTGGTTAACTGTTAATACCAAAACCACATTTTATATTTTGAATTTAAAAGCATTGTTTTCCTGAGTCCTACCTATTGTAAATGAAAACTGGGAATTTACGGGAACTGAGGATTTATGATGAGTCAGATGGTTGATAGCTAGTCCAACCAAAACATCTGCTCGTCACAGTCACAACTGCTATAATCCATTTCCTCTTGGGTCTGGAGCATAACCAAGTTGCAGATTAGGGCTCTTCTTCCTTAAAAATGCAGATTCTGGAAAATCGGGCATAACTCAGAAAAGGTAATCTAGAAGCTTTTTTGTCTTGCTACCTTAGTTTGTAGTATACTTTCAAGAAGAGACATTTCTATAATTTGATTTCCAAAATATTCAACCTGTTTTCTTCAAAGCAGTTGTGTTTCTTTATAGCACTTACACTTCAATTATGTCAAGAGGCTACTTAATCAACTACCTCCTTTTTTGTGTAACCTATCGTTGTTATTATTAATGTTTGTACTGCAATAGTGCCCAGAGGTCCTATTCAGGATGGGAGCTCCACTGTGCTAGGTGTTGTAGAAACATATATTAAGACACATCTTG